CAATAGATGATGAAATATTCAAATAACTATGTTTATAAATAATGAAGTTAGCGCCGGCTGTTCAGCCAAAATTTGATTATCTAAGATCTCGTTATTGAGTTATATGTCTCTTGAGATATACAGGACGTTCATTCTAGTATGGTACGCATCATTAATTATAATTAATGACTCATAACATAGTTGACATAAAACTCATGTCACACACTGTGTATTCAATCATTTATGTATGGAATTATATTCTATTGAAATAAACCTCATACTTTATATGGTTTTAAAAATTTATACATTATTTAAATGTTATTAAAGAGGCAAATAAGGAAAATAATAACGTAACTGCAATAATTTAGATTTGCTATGTCAATATTGTAATAGGTAGTTAGCAATACTAAGCGTTTTAAGAATATTAATCAATTCAACTGTTAAAAGAATAAACATCATCAGAACAATCTTCAAATTCTTAATTATATAAAATAATTCCAAAATTTAATACTCAAAACCATAAATCAGTTCATTTTTGTAATTTTATTGTGCCCTTAAAACGATAATTATTATTTATTCTATAAAAGATTGGTAAATATTATTTTATCCTTTAAACCTATATTACGGATTTAGTATAAGGACAGTATAAATTTTAATGAGATCCTAAGTTTTCCGGCTATTGAGGAAAAAACAGACTTTGTTTTCTCTTATTAGTTTACTTTGCCAAAATACAGTCGCCAATTAACTTAGGCTAGAGCTAATTTGGTGGAGAAAATTTGCATAAAATTAATTTGAAACAAAAAAAGTCCGATATATAATTTATAGGGATTACCCGCGTAAAATTTTTAAAAATCTGTTGGTCTTAGCAAAATGTATTTTTTTTAAAGTGGAACAGTTTATATAGAAGTTAAATAATTGAAAATTTTCAAGAAAAACTTAAGTCAAGTAAAAGAAAGACAAAATAAGTTCATAAAAAATTCCTTGTTATATTCTTTCATTTTTAATTGTAAAATCATATAGCCATTTTCAAAATTGAATTTGAGCGTGTCCACAATTCTCTATTAGCACCTTAGTAGTTTCTATTACGGCTACAAGACTTGATTGAATTTCTGATGAATTTCAAAATAAATTATGTTTTATATACATGTATATATATTCCTTTTTTATTATAATTTTCACTAAAACTAAGAAAAAAGATTGTAGTACATTTAATCAAATGTTCCTTTAGTTAGTCGTTTGATCACCCATCTACAAATAGTCATATATGCAGTTTCATTAACCGGTCTCTTGTTCTTGCTTTCGAAAGTGAGTTGCATTGTTCACCTGGATAGTAAATTCTAATTGAGGAATAAATCTTATCAGTCTCTTTCAACTGTTTGGCCTTTTGAGGAAATTGTGGTACTTAAATAAAGATCTCTGGAAAAGGAATAAAACTCATGGTACGATGCGGCATGTTACGACAGTCAAAGAGAGAGAGAGAGATACAAATTTCAAGTTAAAAGCAGAAAATCTATAATGCATATTGACGAGGACATTATGATATGTATATGTTACATGCAATATTTTCCGGAGATAAAGATTGCACCGATTTATTGAGCGTTTTGTATTTAAGAGTTCCTAATCGCTTCACACGTCATACAGCACTATTTCACACGCCTGAGCTAAAAACTAACTATGCACACAACTCTGTTTTATGTCCTTAATCGCATTGTCAACACATATAATTCACAATACTCAGAAAATGGTCTGTTCAGCATGTCAAAACTAGCTTTTAAAAAAGCTATAATTAAAAAAGATAAAAATTCATAATAACAAACATACAAACACACACACACACACACACACACACACACACACACTCACACTCTCACACACACACAATCATGCAAACACGCACCTAATGTATTCCCACCCGTACCTTTATATTACTTTTATACTATACGTTTTACTTTTATGCCACCGTCTTCTAGTTATTAATATGTTTAAGTTACCTGTGTAATCCTATTTTGGTTTTAATTTTGTGTTATATGTATAATAATTAATATAGAAACTTATGTATAAAAACTGTTGGATTACCAAATAAATAAAATAAAAATTGTTAGCTTATATAATATCTTTATCTTACACAAATTCTATCAATACAAATTACTTTGATATACATATCTTTTCTGCTGTAATTGGTAAATATCGTAGACAAAAGTCCATTGCCAGGTCTAACTTTGTGCACCTCGAATGGCCTTGGATATCCTCATAGCCTATGTAATATTGAACCTAATTTATATAGAATTTCGGAAAACATTTTTTAACCATAAATCTATCAAATGTATTTGTTATAAAACTATAAAAAATGGTTTAAATAGATGGAAATATTATCACGTTAATCATGCATTCCGGACACTTTCTTTTAAATTAATTTTGCATTTTTGATGACATAATATCCATCTCATTGTGCAGCATCAAATGCGATAGAAGATGTTTATCGTAACTTTATGAAGCGCGTTTTTAAAAATGTATAGATATCTATTTCAAATATTTCGTATTATAATTTCGTTCAAAATGTTGCTGTAGAAAAATAGCGATCTGGCCCATGTCAAAATCCGCCGCTTAAACATAGTTAAGTGGGTGTTATTTTGAAGGACTTATGAAGTTACATTGTCGTCTATATAACTTCATAAGTCTTTAAAACAGAAAAAAAACACATTTTTAATTACTAATGATATAGATAGATGAACATGTAATACGAATAATGGAAAGAGATGTAAGTCGATAAAATATCTTTTAAATTATTTGTGACGAAATATAATTTTAACCAACAAAACATTGTTTATGATAATTTGCTATCTATGAATTAATTATTATCGGGTCCTTAATTGCGTCACGCCTTTGGGATACCGCACACTTGAGATGTTAAGATATTGAGTCCCTTGTCATCATGTCTTGATTTCAGTTATTATTCATAGCGTTTCAAACCCTTGAGCAATGTTTTGTCTAAACTTAAGGACTACCCCTTCTACCGTTTCCATAACACTAGATTTACTTAATCTAACTATTAAATAAACATGAAGTATGTAAAATTAAAAAGTTCTTATTAGTATACTCAATAATTTTTACTTGATTACTTATTAAAATTAAAAGAGTAATATAATTTAGGCCTTATTCGGATTTTTTTAACAATCCCAAGTGAATCAAAGTCATAAAAACGGCTTACGGCGAAATGATTAAAGAAGTATAAATGAATTTAAATATAAAAATGAATTTATTAATTTTTTACTTGGAAAGTAGGATAGAATATTTTTTTATTTTATTCCCCATTGAAATTAATATTGTACTCATATATCTATTCATTTGTATAAGCTAGTATAATAATTAATTTCGATGTGATTTATGTCTCACACTCATTCCTTCAACCCTTTTAATATCCTTCACACCATGTACATTTAATAAACAAGTGTGAGTATTCAGACGACAATTTAAAGATATCGGTTTGTACTGTTTTTTATTAAACAACACAAAATCTACTAAAACAATAAAAAGTTCACTTTTTTATTCATAATACATATAATAAAAATTAAGCTGAAAAATGCCCTGAAGGGACTCGCGTCATTGTTTAGAATATAATGTTAAAATATTTCTTTAAATACAATTTCTTTATGCTAAACATTTCAATTTTGTCTTAACCAGAAAAGTTAAGGTCCAATCAGCTATTAATTTCCTTTAAAAGTTGTGTTCCAGCTAAAATACACTCTAAATATTTACATAATATTATAGTGGCACACATATGTACATGTGTATATTTACGTATAAATTTCGTGAAATATACCATCGTGATAAATTTGATATGAGTTCTGTAAAATAACATCAGATATTTTAGCCTTACATTACTATTCATGTTGATTTATTTGAGTTGCAACTCACAGCTAGAATTAATTGCATACAGATCAGTAAAACAGTATCATTTAAATTTAATTTAACTTACGTATTTTAATTACATAGGTTAAATTTTATTTAAATACCAATTCTAAAAATAAATAAATACTATATCGTTATATACATATTAATATTATAAAAACTTTTACATTTGAGTTTTTATAACTCGGGTCTAATGGAAACACATATTCTAAGATAGTTATGATGGGATAGATAGAGTAGAGAATAAGAAAATAACTTCGGTTTGTGCTTGCTGCTTCTTCTAGCTGGTTAACAATTCATTGCTGTAGTATAGTTTATATAACAATATAATTTTTTTAGAAATTAAATAAACGAAATTTAAACAGAATTATAAGTTCATCCTTTATCTTTTGGGTGTAATCTTATACTTGAGGTATTATAATTATAAGTGAGTATGATAAGGATTTAGGATATTAATTAACAACGTTTAGGTAAAAGGGTATTTTCCCAAGAAATTCTATTGTTACTATGTATCTTTTTATTTCTATTCATTGAATAATTGGAAAATTTCCTTCTTCAAATAGTTGCGCTAACATTTCAAAATTTAATCAAATTACTCGACAAAAATTTGGGAATGAGTATAATTTGGGATTCAAATGTTATTTAAAACCAATAATTTCAAAAATTATTTATACTTTCATTTCGAATTACTTAATATTAATTTTGACTTTTTCTGAAGGAAATAACGTTTCCGGTTTTATAATAAGTAAAATTAAGAAAATAAAAATTGTATAGATAATATTATGCGTATAAAATTTTTCTTGATTCCTTATTTCTTATTCCTTTCTAATTCTATGTAGTCATTTCAATCATTACTTTATCCTATGTAATCACTACATTTCAAAACCAAATATTTGAGGAATAAATATTATTACATTTATTACATACTTTAGAAGAAATATTTAATAAAAGGCACACAAAACCATGGTGTTGGCAATATAATTAAAAAAGTTTTAAAATATGGTATTTTAATTAAAAAAGTTTTGTAATTAATTATATGCTTTTAATTTGACATATTTGTACTACTTATTCAATTAACAATATGTCACTCTATTAACAACGTTTCCGCCACGTTAAGAAGTTGGTTGAATGTAGGAAGGTGAACATAATTCCAATGTAAAACTTTTCAATTCTCCATACGTAGGCATGTCACATGTTCTTGGAATAACTTTGAAACCATTTTCAATGATACGACCGATTTTTAATAAAGCCTGCAGCAATATTTAATAAAAGTATTACTTGTAAAGTTTATTCGCATAAGCTCTAAAGATAATTTATGCTTACAGATCTAGCAGGTAGTGGTAACGCGGGTTTGACATATACTTGAGGGCAGGCCAAAAGTGAGGTTAGCGGTACAAACATTTTCAACACAAGAAATGGTGTAGCTGAGGTCAGGAGACCTAGAAAATTTATAATCATAAAATGCACACTTCATTCTTATTATTCTATATATAATCAGATAGGGCACAGTAAGAAAAAGGTACTGTGGAATTGAATATTCTAAGCATTATATTAAATTGACACTCACCAGGGTATATTCTATTTATATGTTTTTCCGAGCATGAAAACAGAGGCTTAAGTTTTGGATACAAATCCTCAGAAAACTCCCAAATTTTAAAAATTGCTCCACCTCGTCGTCCCTCCATGTAGAATAAAACAATATTGCCTGTATCAATGGCAAAACCTGTTATATAGTCATTCATTTCGGTCGATTGTAATGTTTCCTCATTAATGTTCTTTATTTTTTCTAAAACAGCGTCTATTGATATTTTATCTTCGGCTATACAATATAGCCTAGAAAAATTAATAGTTAAATCTTGTGGTCTGCATCCTACCAATCCCATTGATACCTCTAAAGTCATTTGGGCCTGTAAAACAATATGGGATGGCAAAGCTACTTTTTGTTTCGTAGGCCATCGTATTGAATTTATATCATTAGTGCAGATACATTCGCGAGGAATCATATCCATTTCAGGTATAGGTGGATATAAAGGGAATTCTCCTTTTATGAATCCATTCATACTTCTTGTCAAAACAGTGGTATCAATTTTTGTGACAGCTATAATAACATCATTTTCATCAATTTTTGGATTTAAAAAAGGCACCATAGAACCAAATTTACTATCGAATTTTTCGTTTCCAAAAAAAATTCCAATATTTGGCGGTGATTTCGTATTTTGTACTCCTCGAAGCTAAAACAATTTCGTTAAGAAGTGTTATATCTAATATGTTATGTAGTTTCTTGTCATTTTGAACACACACATAAAATAATAGGAAGTAACATTGTATAACAGTTTACCTGTATTTCAAATGGATTACTTAGGAATATCGGTATTATTTCAGCTGCAACTTCATATGGTAGGGGAAAAGTATGGTGGTCGTTGAATTTAATGGGTTTCAAAGATTTCATAGTTTCTTTTGGAGAATCGTGTGATTCGTTGTATAGCTTCCAGTTCGTATATATTTGATTGAATCTTCATAATTGGGTTTTATTAAAAGATGTCTATTTTAATATTTATGGTATGTAAATGTCGGTCTATATTCACTTACCCGGCTCTCTTTAATTCTTGCACTGGAACATCATATATGTTTTCAATGTTTATAAATAAGATAGGTAAATCGTCTTGTGCTGGAAGATTAGCGCTACTTATTAAAACAATAACTTCTGGCATATCTGGTGGGCGGTCTCCGATAGACTCAAATGGAATTACTCTTCCAATTCCTTAAAATTATGTATTATTTTTAATTTTGTTGCCATAAAACAAGCTATAGGTATATACATCTATTCATGAAAAGTAGTTTTCGTTTACAATAAAAGTTTAAGTTACCCGATAAAATTGTATTTCCTAACAAATTTATTTCAAATTTTACTTTTGGAATCTCAACCGCTTTCTTTTTTTCTTTTTCTTTCGCTATTTTGGAATCTCTTCGTTCTTTCGTCTTCATAAGTTCTTCAGGTTCTGTTAACAATTCCTCTTTGCCATCAGAAATAGCTTTTAGGATGGTTTCTTGTACATGAAATAAAACTGCATCTTGATGCCTTTGATCTATATTTAATAATATTGAGTTATTTTAGTTTGTATCACATTTTTTATTTATTTAAATAGATATTTTCTTAAGTACTATCTTCTTCTTCTACTACTAGTATTTATCTTCTTTAGTACTATTTTCTTAAGTACTATATAATAGTAAATTAATTCATAAATTTTACTACACTTATATGGACTGCAGCTAAGTATTTCATTGCCTTGATTTATCTTTTGACTTGTGCATCAGACATACTATTTTAACTTAAAGAAATAAAATTTCACTGCTGTAAATTTAAAAGCAATATGTTTCAAAAAGTACATACATACGTTATCTTAGACGATACGATATACGATAATAAATCAAAACCTGTAACATTGTTCGGTTTATCGAAAATTCCATCTAAATGTGAGGACGGTATATGACATTCAATCAGATGCCATATGTAATCTTGTATATAATCTGCCAAAATCATTTCATGTTCCAAAACAGATCCAAAATACCGTCGCTCACCAAATACTAAAGGTGGAAAATATACTTCCACATTTTTGTCATTTTTAGCACTGTAAATCGAAATTTTAGAGTAGAAAGAGACGTACATTAATTAATTTTTTTTAACAGAAAATTAAATACTTGGCACTAAGAGCACCCAAGCCCATACTAGGTGTAACGGTAGCTAAGTGCTTTATTAAATCAAGTACTCGAAGTGGAAAAGCGTGACGAATTGAAAACGCCATCCAACGCCTCTCTAAAAATTGCCACGTTCGCACAAAGCCATATTGATTACCACACCAGATCTAAAATAATAAAATATTATAACTATTTAAAGAATTAACATTAGTTAATACATTTTTCATATTTTATACGAAAATTTGGTGGCTTTTTGTGTGGTGGTGGGTAAATCAACTTAAGATACACCAAAACTAAACTCACATAGAATATTAAATCTTTCATATTAATTCAAATAGGAAATAAAGAGTTTTAAACAATTTTTAAACAAAAAAGATAATGTCAAATGTAACTATCTAGTTATATGTATAATGGTTCAACGGAGTCACGTAACATAGGAAAAGTCCAAAGAAATATAATTTTACATGAAACAAACAAACTAGGAAAAACTAACTTATGATACTATATTACAGATTAAATTCACCTTCGCAACGTGAGGCCATATGAGAATATCCAAATCAAAAGACTGGTTTGGATATAATTGGTATTGCAACTTCATTCCTTGAATTGGTGGCCCGAGGTCTAGCCAACCTTCATTACAATCATGCCATATATCAATCCCAATAATTTCTATAGCGAATGTTAGGGTAAATGTGCTTTTGCAGAATCTTGATAAATCAATCTTGTCATTTGTTGAAGCTTTGGGTGCTGGTTGTTTACTCATAATAATAAATAATATTTTATATTTATTATTAATATACAAATGATATAAAGAGAAAAATATATGAATATTATATTTTTATTGACATCTGTCAATTCGTTCAATTCATTTCTGTCAAAGTTCAAAAAAGCAATTAATAATGTGCTTGTGTAATCGTAATTACGTTAAGTATAAATCAATCTACGACATTTTTTAGAAAATTTTAGGACGTCGTTACTAACTAGCATTAAAAATCAATATTATTTAATTATCGAAAGCGTTTATGGCTTAAATTATCGCTATAACTATAATTGGGTTTTTACCCGAAACCATATTAATGAAAAAAAAAATGTATCTTACATTACCTCCTTATTAAGTAAGATCTGAAGGCCTAGGGATTTTGGACTATAATTTCAACATTATGTGATAATTTACAAACTATTATCACAATATTACGAACCTCATTAACGTCATCGTTAATTTAGTATTTCTGACAGGTCGTGACCGAATGAGTTATGCACCTTAGAACTGGCAGTTATTTGGGGTAGCATTTCTAAGTGACTACTAACAAGTGATAACATTAAATAATTATATCAACTTACAATAGGGCTAAAATTGTTACCAATCCAGTTTAGGCTAAAATTATTACCAATAAATAGTTTATTACAAATACAAAATCAAAAGTATTTAATGTCATACCACTTCAAACCGCTCTTTTTTCAGGGTTTACCACCAATTGTTTTTGTAGCAATATGATAAAATAACTAGGCAATTTTAAACGAATATTTTTGTGATATTACTGCAGTAATTATAAAGTAACATTTTTTACGATAATGTGTTTTAACCATTATTGGTTTGTATAAAAATACAAAGGGTGCTGTTCACTGCCAGCCAAATGTTAAAGGAAAACTATGAAACTTACTTGCATGAGTATATTGTAACATGAATTACATAAAAAAACTTATTATCAAAACCTGATACTACATAATTGCCTCGATAGCAACACCATCCCATTCCTTGTGTATTTTATAATTATTCTGGAATCTTCTGATTCACATGACTAGGTGTTTGTTCCCGGCGCTAGTCCACTCCGGACCTCGAACTAGGGGGGACAAATCCCCCCGCAAACCACCACCGCAAACCGCCCCTGGAACAAGAGGGGCTAGCACCGTACTGATCCTATCAACGGGCGACAGAAGTCCCGGTCTGCCACCCAGGATCACGTCGCCCGGCGCTTAATCTATGGCTGTAAAGAGGCCAGACAGGCTCGGCGCCGGCGACCAATTCGCCGACGACGGAGAGCGGGGGCCTCCGGGTCGTTCTCCCTGGCCCGCTCCGCCGCCTTCTTCGCGCTGATGACATTATTGTTATTATTATGATGATGATGATTAGCGTTGTGATAATCGCTTCAAATAAAACATTTATTTACAAAACCTTAATATTTTATGATAACATATTTATTACTTTTTAAATAAAATCAAGTAACGTTTATTATTAAAGATTTTAGTGTTAAGTTTTTAATATTTTAACATTCCGAGCTGAATTGGTTAGTTTCCAGAGGTTGTTGAAGCAATCTCAATTAATAAATAATAGTAGGTATCTTTTAAATATTAAATTTCAATGTTTAAAAAAATCAGTTGGTAAAAACTCGGTAAGACTCTTTATTTTGGTTATAACTTAGGGTATAAAGTACTTCAACATTTTTATGAACGGTATTTTTATCTTGAGAGATAACTAAATTTACTTTGTTAGCTGAACTGGGAATTGTTCAAAAAATTCCGTGGTTCGTACTTCACGAAATTATTACTAACTTTTAGTTTATATTTTTCTGAGTGTTCCTCAGACTTTTATATGCTATTTTTTTATAATTTAATATTATTTTTTAACTTATTATATTTTTATAAGGACTTACAACAGTTTTATATTTATTAATAAATTAATAAAAAAGTAATTATAGAATGTTATATCAAGAACGAAATAGTATTTACATGAATAATATTGTATGTGTATAATATGCAATATAATATTAAAATATTAAAAAAAAATTAAATTAATTTCTGTTACAAAACTGCTGGAGGAAAAACTAATCATCTTGTTGAATTTTACTACTTAGTTCGAAAACAAAGAGCTTCGTGAATTTCTGTTAAATTGTTGTCTTGTGCAATTTTATATATTTAATTTTATATATTTTAAATTATTTGCCTTTTGCAATCCTTGCACTTTTTTCTGGTGTACTTATGAGTTACTTCCTTGATTTTTTAATAAGAGAATTATTGTATTGCATATATTGTAAAATTTGATTTTGTGTATTATAATGATAGTATTTCAAAAAGTTTTTCGGAACAATAAAAGTAATTAAAATAACTTAGAATACTTGTATAACATCATTGAATATAATCTAATATTTCGAAGAAATAAAATTTGCAAAGAATTACGTCAATATAATTATTTATGAAGACAAATATGTAATTTATTTATTTAATCATGGATGGGATTGCATATTGAAGCCATGTAAAGAACAAGTAAGTTTATCATACTTTAGAATAAAATTTCTATTTATTGGTGGGTATTACTAATTTAATCTTATTATTTCAAAACTTTTTTGAAACAATTTTGTATTCGTCTATATAGACGAAAGGCATTACTTGTGACTTGAAATCGAATAAATTAAGGGGATATGAATACGTGACTGTCAATAAAAATTAAAATCATTGATTAGAAGCAGAAGTGCTATTCGGTCTAGATTATTTCTATTCTAAATATAATCAAACCCCACTCACACTCTCGAGCTGATGTAAAGAGCTATTGACATATAAACCTCATCAGGTAGTAGGTAGCATGTATATAATACATATAATTTTAAAGGTATTGGTCACTTTATAGGTCAATGAAATCATTATTTTATGGGATGAATTACTGTGTCGATTTTAAATTATCTATTTTTATTTAAAAAAAACGATTTAATAATAATTAATCCAATACCTTGACAATTTCAACAATATTTTATTATATTATTTGCTTTACAATACTTTTACCAAACCGAAACAAAGATAAAAAATAGTTTATTTCGTTTCAATCCTAATTTCAAAACGTGCTTAAATGTTGTTTTTGTTTCTTTTGGCACTCAGTATATTAAGAGCATTCAAAATGTCTGTTTTTGTCACAATAGTAATAATAATAATTAATGTTTTATAGTTATTTAAACATATAATAAATCCTGTCGATAAAGGTATGAATTTTAAAGAGATTATAATTTAAAAAGAGTCAAATCACTGGAATGCGTAGTCAAAAAAATTTAAAATTTTTTTAGTCGTTTTATTAAAATAAGGTTATCGCTATTGATTATTTAAAATACTTTTAAAAATTTAGAACAGGAAGAATAGAATTAAAATATATATATAATATAAGTTATATCGGTTGGACCATAGAACGGTTGAATGGTAATTTCCTATGGTTTGCTTCAACGAATTGTTATCCGACCAGTAACTCCCTCGTGAACTAACCCATCTTCCTTAGAAAAGGAATAAGTACCCTTAGTTGTAAAAAACCCTTTGAAGGATTATTATCTTTCATCTTTAGACATATTTTTGAATCGTTGTAAACTTCTTTAGAATTTTTAATAATATTTTATTGATATAACAATGTTTATGGATATACACATAGATATATTTATAGACCCTAAGCCTGTATGGAATAATTAAATAATTTCTAGTATAAAATTTATAACTACAATATATTTTTCTTGTGATTTTCTCATGATGTTTTCATAGCAGCAAAAGCGGTAGAACTAAAAATTTTTAAGAGAAGTTTAAATGTTGAGTTCTACTTTTCTGTTGATAATACTTACAACATTCGAAAATATTTTCTATGCGACCACATTTCTGGCAGACTTATGTACATCGAGCGCCTCACCACCTGCTATATTGATCATAAACAATCCATCGTTTTTTGCTACTGTAAGATAAGTAATTCTTGCATATTAGTACTTATTACATCTAGAGTTCATTAAGATATTTATAAACATCTGTCAACCTAATATTTTTAATTCTGTCTTCTTAATATCTGAACCCGTACTTACCCGTAACAGCTATGTATTTAATTAAATAAGCGTAATAAGCTTACGAATCAATAATTATTTTTAATTTAAATTTAATATAATTGTAAGGAAGTTTTATAAAAAGTCTTGTCGGTTTTTGTTTACATCAGAGTTCTAAATTTTATACGAACTTATCTGATGATATCAAAAAAAATTAATTAAAATTAGATATTTCTTTCCTTCTTGCTCTCACCATCATTCCTCCTTTTAATTGTAAAATGGTTTTGTTACCTGCATGCTATTTTCATAGCTTTTTGTTGCAAAAACTTTATTAACCTTTTTAATATTTTTTTAAGTATAATAAGAGACTTTTCTAAGTAACTTTTTAGGGTAATAAAACATCCTTTCGTCCATTAATAATTCTCTTTTGCAACAAAGTTTACAAAGTTTTCAACTGTTAATTTCATGCGATTCAGTCTAGGAAAACTTTGGAAAACATATAACATATGCAAATTGTAAAGTACAAAGTTATAGGATGCGAACACATACAAATGGAATTTGTTATTTATTAACTAAACATTATTATGACAATGAAAATCCAAGACACGGACGTAGAACTCCTCAAAATAGAAAATTATTTAAGTTTTGCAAAAAAGCATTATAAAAATAGGAATTTCCATGTTTTATTACGTATCTACATGTCTAGTTCAGATGGAAGTGAAATGAAAACAAGCTATTTTAGTTATATAATTTGTTACAAAACGAAAAAAGGTAGTTGGTTTCTTTAACGACTTATTTCCTGTCAAACAGAGCATTTATAATTTTCTAATGTTACTCACAATTATACTAAAAACCAGCTAAACTTAGCCGTGGTTATTGGTCACTTGAGTAAAGATATAAAGTATTTATGTTATACATATTTGTATGTAAAATTGACTAAAATAAAGAGATAAAGTTATCATAAGACCACTTGATTTGGTACTATGTA